TCACACACACTCACTCACTCACTCACACACACACACACACACACGAGACGTTCACCACAAGAACGATTTATTGATTTCAGTGAGTTGATCTGATTCTTGTTTATTTGCTGCTGTAACTAGTAGTAAAGAGGACGAGATAATCTACAGTGATCTGCCAGCACACATTAAAGAGCAGAAAAACCACATTTATTGTTTGAATTTAGTGTTAAAATGGATAGAATCTGAAAGCTGAGACTGTTTCATATCAAACGTAAAAAACCACAAAGATTAATGGGATTTATTGGATGCAGCTTTTGTTCACGCATCAACTGAAAACACAGATCGAATCTTGGGATTCAAGAATCAATATCAGTTCATCAAATTGAAATCGAGAAATCAATATTTTCAACCCAGCTCTAATTTTTATCATTCATCAGCTGGAAAAAATCCTTCTGAAAGAGATTCGATCAATGATATTATTTCTCTGTCATTAATGTTTTAGCTGCACTGTGGACTTCTGTTCCTAGAGTTAGAGCCGTTATTATAACTGTATAGTTATCATCTGAGTGGATTGAATGTGTGTTTGTCCTGGATCTGCTCTGATGTGAATCAGTTCAAAAGAACCAATTCACAGAAGTGAATCAATCTGGCCTAATCTGTTTAAAAGAGAAATGCTGTTAGTTCATCTGTGTGTAGACGCTATCACACTCAGGATTCACGTCTGCTTCAACGCTGATGTCTGTAGGACAGTTAATGGCCAAATAACAAGCACATTAAAATCAGCATCATATTTAAAGCGATGATTCGTTTCATTTCACCAACAGAATATCAATTGTAGCATAAATATTCAATGTATTTTCCAGCCCGTATGTGTCTGTAATGTACTGTATGTATTTACAGTGAATGATGCACTTGATTTCACTCTACTTGAGAGATGTTTAACTGATCGGCTAAGCAGACGTGATTATTGATCGATCAGATCAGATGGTTCAGAGTGCTGTGTGCTCATCTGTGCTCTGAATGAATGCAGAATGCTGATGGATTGTGGCTGTGCTGTTGTACTGGAGTCTAGGGAACGAGCTGCAGTCGTCCGGATCATTGATGACGCTCACGGAGGAACAAGAACCCTCGTGTCATTGTGTGCTAATGAGTAAAGCTGTGTGTTGCTCTCTCAGGCTGGCCTGCGGAGCTCCGGATCTCAGGTGTTGCCTTCTTCATCAGAAGCTGCAGGTGAAGCTCCTCACGCTTACACACGATCACGACAGCACCAGCAGCGTTCAGCCTCAAACACACACCATACTCGTGTAAAACCAACCTGTTTGTGCAGGTATCATCACTTTACCTTCAGTTCCAGTGTTATGTGTGACCTAAAGGTGTTTTTAAGCGGTTAGATTTCTTATAAATCTCATCTAGTTTTGATCTAACTATAAATTTGTCCATAGGTTAGATTTAGTTTTTTCATGAGCATGATTTACTTATTTTTACAAATCATTGAAAGCAGGCACATTAAACGTAGCAAAATCAACATTAAATCAAAATGTACTTTATTAATAATGCGATTCAGTTTTAGAAGAAAGTCACACAGGAAAACAACACTAGGAGAGTCAATGATTGTTTATATATTACTGTTCAAAGTTTGCAGTCATTTTTTTAAAATAAATGAATACTAATTACTTTTATTCATCAAGGTTGCATTAAATTGATGAAAAATGACAGTAAAGACATTTACAATGTTACAAAACATTTATATTTCAAATAAATGCTGTTCTTTTGAATTTTCTATTCATCTGTGAATCCTGAAAAATAAAATGCATCACGGTTTCCACAAAAATATTACTGTTTTCAACATTGATAATAATCAGAAATGTTTCTCGAGCAGCAGATCAGCATATTATACTGATTTCTGAAGATCATGTGACGCTGAAGACTGGAGGAATGATGCTGAAAATACAGCTGTGCATCACAGGAATACATTACAGTTTAACAGATATTCACACAGAAAACAGCTGTTTTACTTTATAATAATAATTCACAGTTTTTACTGTATTTTTTATCAAAGAAATGCAGCCTTGATGAGCAGAAGAGAGTTCTTTTAAAAAACAGTATATATGCATATTTTTTATATTTTGCAGTAAACCATCAACGTGAAATTGATTTCATGTTTCACCGTCATTTTTTATTCAGTTGTCATTCTACTAATGGTATGCGACCGGCCAAAGTTAACTTTATTTAATTTTAATCAATAGAAACATAAATCAGTGTTTCAGTCTGTCTGTATATTCTCACATTTGACCTGTCTTCATCATCATCATCTTCATCATGTCCGTGTGTTAGTATCACATCCATGGCGCTTGACGTCTAATGAGTCTCAGCTCGTCATACCTTAATTGTTGTGCTGGTTAAGTGTCGCTCTTAGTGATGCACCGAAATTTCAGTAATCAGACATTGACCGAAACATGACTGTATTAGCATCTGTTTTGTGCTCACGACATGGATAAACTCCAACAGCTGTGAGAACACTAGTGCTGGATCGATTTCTCTTGTTAAGCGCTCTTTATCTTGATGAACCGATGTTGAATCATTTGAATCCAAAATCAATCTTTTAGTCTGTGCTATTTTCAGTTGAACAAAACTTCACTAAACATCATTTCTAGCGCCTGCCATCTAGCAATCACTCTATGTTTTGTGCTTCGTTACTTCTGTTATGAACCAAAGTCTGTCACTAAATTCACACATTTTATCACTAAATTCAGTCAGTGAATGTGTTTTTGCTGCTCTTTAATGACAGATGCTGGATAGTGAAGCGATCACCTCGTCCTCTTTACTACTAGTTACAGCAGCAAATAAACACGAACGAACATCAGAAGAAACAGAACAACTCAATCATGGAATCGATCAATCAGTGATTCAACCGCAGAAAGATGTCAATAAAACAGCCTGTGAACCGTAATGTCAGTAAAGACATTCAGTGACCATAAACTAGAGAGTCGGCTAGAAAAAACAACTCTAGAGGAGCATTTCGCTAAATAAATGCACTGTGTGTGACCGAATAAGCCTGTCGTGAGAGAGCAGATGAGTGGAGTAACTCTCACAGGGGTTTCTGCCTAATCGAGATGTTGTTAGGATTGCACAGGAAAACAAAACAAAAAATGCATTTCTCTTCTGCTCTAGTTTGCTGTCTAATAAACATGGCATTGCACGCTGCCGTTTACTGTCTGGCTGTTGTGCTCGGGTAAAAGATGCATAAATGTAAATGACCATTTTTGCATCATATTTTTCATCTGTGAAACCGAGTGAATCGTGCTTGTACTGTGCTGCTGATAACCGTGTTTGTGTGTGTGCCGCAGGAGCCCGCGCCCATGACTGAAGACCTGCTGGAGGAGCAGTCGGAGGTTCTGGCCAAACTGGGCACGTCGGCTGAAGGAGCGCACCTCCGCGCCCGCATGCAGAGCGCCTGCCTGCTCTCAGACATGGAGTCCTTCAAGGTGAGCTGTGTGCTCGTCAGTGAGAGGTCTAAAGGTTATGATAGCACTGCATTCTGGAGTCAGAAATGAGCATCTCCACGTCCCACATGCTCTGCAGATGTTCAGCATCTCGTTTGATTTGTGTCCTGGCAGCAGATTGTTGTCAGTCGTGTCACCTGTAATTCACTGTGAGTCCAGCTGATCTCCAGCACACTGTGTAACAGCATTCTGACCACTGTCAGCCGGAGGAACATCATCTCCAGTGCCATCCCGCCTGAGGATTACATGAAGGACTTTTCATTTTAAGAAAATATGTGACCCTGGACAACAAAACCTGTCATAAGGGTCAATTTTGTGAAATTGAGATGTATGCATCATCTGAAAGCTGAATAAATGAGCTTTCCATTGATGTATGGTTTGTTAGGATAGCACAATATTTGAAAATCTGGAATCTGAGGGAGCAAAAAAAATCTAAATATTGAGAAAATCATCTTTAAAGTTGTTCAAATGAAGTTCTTAGCAATGCATATTACTAATCAAAAATTAAGTTTTGATATATTTACGGTAGGAAATTTACTAAATATCTTCAAGGAACACGATCTTTACTTAATATCCTAATGATTTTTGGCATAAAAGAGAAATGTATAATTGTGACCCATACAATGTATTGTTGGCTATTGCTACAAATATCCCCCAGCGACTTAACACTGCTTCTGTGCTGCAGGGTCACATATGTCTTTTTTTTCCCCCATCAGAATTTGACTTTATATCTCACAAGTCAGAATTGTGAGATAAAATGTCGCAATTACTTTTTTTTAAATTCCGTGGTGGGAACGGACTTCCATAGCGTTCTCGTG